CCCTCCTAAATCCTTATGTCTAGCCCTGTTATAGATCTGCTGCTATTCTCACAACTTATGTGTGACACTGCCCAGCAGCAATCTCAAATACTTATTAACCTAAATAAATTTGTAAAAAGACTATACTTCTTTTTTCTTTTTTTTGACTAAAACTAGACTAAAACCTTTTTGAGTTTTTGCCGACTAAAACTGGACTAAAACTATCACATATAGAAGTGACTAAAATTTGACTAAAACTAATAAGCATTTTAGTCCAAAAGACTAAGACTAAGACTAAGACTAAATCTAAGATGGTTGTCAAAAACAACACTGGTCACAGTAAACCTACATCACTGATACGTCACAGTAACAATTCTCTCAGACGGAATTTCAGACAATATTGAAAAATAGCATAATTCAAATACTAATGGACTGAACTTCTTATATTGTGTTGCAGCAGATAAGCCTGGAAAGACAACAGCAATCTAATATTTTTGTTTCAACACAACAAAATGTGGATGTTAAAAATGGTCATTTTATTTAGAATATGATTTTATTTAGATATGACTTTGATACAATCAGGTATTTTATAATAAAATCTGACCTTCTACCAGTAATGTAATTATGATTAAAAATGGCAAGCTAGCTACAATAATCATCCAGATGGGTAATTAATAAGACATTAAATGACCAACTACAGTGATACCCAGACATTTATAATATGGTGACACTTTATTGACCCCTGTGGGCAAAGTCTCTTTTTGCCAAACCCCTCTTGCTCTCCATGACACACATGTAGATGAGAGCAAGCTCAGCAGTAAAGGACAGCCACCTGCAGCAGTGCCCATGCAGCTGAGGGTTATGCCATTCTGCCAAAGCCAGGATTGAACCAGCAACCCTCCCCTCACAGCCACAAAAGGTTAGCCTGTTGAGCTGCACACTGTGCCAAGAGAATGACTGGATGGAAATGAACTGGCATATTAAGAAGTAACTGAATGTAATGTGATTATTTTTTAAACAAGGGAGAATTAATTTGAATTATTATATCTGAATACATATATACCCTTTTCCTAATAACAATGACATACACATGATGGAGTGGCATAAACATGTTAGATATACTCAATATGCAGGAAATGAATTTATCGCAGGTGAGTACACTGTGTTACACTTCAGACTGTATAGCCCTCATCAGCACATTTTGTGCATCCTCAGCCAGCTCATTCAGGCAGCTGTTTAACATGGAGTAGGTGGTTCCATAGGAAATCCCACCAGCTGCTATGGATCCAAAAACAGGAATGTTGCTGATCAGGTACTCAAGAGCCATTAACCCACCTCCAGCTGCCTTGGTCAGCAGCTTAATGACCACATCAGCTGTTATCTCCTTATTAAGGGGAGATTTGAGAACCGATTTCAGATCTTCAAAGGGTACATCTGTTCTGTCAGAGAGCTTTCTCAAAGAATCATCATCTAGGCCAAATGCCAAATAATATCTGGAGATCTCTTTGACCAAAATAGTCACATCAACAGCAACTGATAGGCCTGGGAAGGGTATGGCAGCTACTGTGCCTGATAGTACGGCCATCTTCCAAATGTCTGCCTTCAAGGCTGCCTTCTTTTTCTCAATGATTTCTAGGCTCATATTGGGCAGGGACAACAGCAAGACATGCCTCTTGTGCTTGGGAAGCTCCTTCTCCATGGTCTCTTCAAGTAAAGGGAAATCATAGCCTCCCAATTCAAAGCTGGAAATCAGGAAGACTGTGGGGGAAGTTAAGCCCTGTTTCTGAAGGCCTGAAAGACAGGGGGGGAACATGTCAAGCTGCTTCAAATTTCTTTAGAGCTCTAAAAAAAAAAAAAAAACCAGAAAAACATTTTACACCTTACCTCTGTAATCACTAATACCATGTTTTGCCATGAATTATTCATTCTATCCTCTCCTACTTTTCTGTAAGGATTTTCATAGACCTTACCTTTAATACAGTCATCTCGGATTGTTTTTAATGTCTTATCATGGTCAAAGGTTTTCTTTCTTTTTTCTGCACGGATATTCTCATCAATCTTGCAGCGCACAAAATAGAACCTCTTCTTCATTTTCTGGATCTCCATGGCCAGCTGTACGTTGCTGGACCTAAAACGCTCTGATGCAATGATGATGAAGAAATCATAGCGTTTAAATTCAACATCCTGAAGGTATGTGTCTGCCTTGAAGTTGGGGGTTCCGATTCCAGGTAGATCCCACAGCTGGACACTGGGATACTTTGGGTAAGGGTAAGATTTAGGCTCCATGGTAGTCTCCACTACACCAGTGGGGGCTGAGATGATTTCATCATCATCCCCAATCCCTCGGAAAGCATTAATAAAGCTGGACTTCCCAGAACCGGACTCTCCAGTGATAGCAATGTTCAGAGTAACATTATCCAGTTGTTTAAAATAGTCTTGAAACTTTTTAGCTGCTGTAGCCAAGCTGTTGTTCTCCATTGCCTCTCTGATATCTTGCACATCTTCATCAGTAATTATTTCAAATTCATCCATAGTGTTATGACAGATATTCAGGGACCCAAATGCAGTACAAGGAGCGTTTATTAAGGAGACAGGCAAACTGAAATGGATCTTGTTTCTTGGTTGGGGTAACAGAGCTGAATAAGTCGTAAGCCGGGAAAGTCAGTCCTACGGGACCATGAAGGACAGAAGGTCATCACACTGGGGAGGTCTGAAGAGATGGGGACTTGGTAGGACTAAGGTTCAGAAGGAAGGGCAGGTCAAGGGAAGACAAAGGAAATGAGAGAAGTGCTCAGTAAGTGACATTAGATCAATAATACCTCACACTGAATGCAATGATGAGTGAGCTTTTCTAGCTAAGAGTTCAGGTGTTGCCACTTTGGGGCAACCGATTAAGCCACATGTGCACATGGGACGTGACAAAGCTGATTTAATAAAAACAATAAAGTGTCATATAGCACATATGTTTTAATGTTCTTCTGTATAATGCATCTCTTTCAGTTCTGTGATCAATATAATCAATGAATGTATGTTTTCTGAATACATGCGCGGGGTCACAGGGGGTCCAGAAAAATAGAATATATGTGCATTATAGTGCAGAGTGTTTTAAACATGATATCTTTGTTATACTCAGCAGTTAAACTACATTATAACAAATTTTAGGACAAATAGTAACAACAATTCAGGAAAGAAGAATTCCAGCAATCCCAAAATGGCCATACAACAATGAGATCATCAGACCATGATGTAAATTTTATACATTATTGAAATATATCTGCTCAGTGTAGTGTGGAATGTCACTGATCTTAGTAAGGATTCTCTGTTTGAGAGAAGTGAATTCCTCATTACATAGCATGATCATGGTTAGTAAATTTGGTTTCTACCACCCATACAAGAGGAAGACAGAAAGAATATTTGTGTTACTAACACAACGATATACATTATTTTATTTGAATATTCCTTTATTATTCCGTTTTTTGTTTATCTATTTTCTTTCCAAAAATGTTTCTTTCTTGTTTGCATAATCTTAAATTAAGGTTAAATATTCTAGGACTGCAGATTTTGGGCATGTTTAATGTACAGTAGTTGCTTATTTGAGGTTGCTCCCTATCTCCTGTTTCTCTCCAAAATACCTGCCCAATAAAGTGAAACAGTCAAGTTTGTCCTGTTTCAGTATCTCATTCCCTCTGCCCATCCAAACAAATTCAAACAAATCAAAATGGAGTTTCTTTAGCTAGTTTGCTAACAATGCCAAGAACTGTGTGGGAAGAATACAAGAAAAACACAAGTAAGAGTGGGAGAAAGAGTGGATTAAAACACTGGATTCAACCTCAAGTGGGGGATAAACATACATGAATCGAAGCACCATTTACATCAAAGAAGCTTCATGATATAGACACTGGGTGGAAAGTTCACTCTACATAAGCGACTATACTGAGCTATACAACACACACACACACACATACACACACTAAGGTCTATAATTATATTTTCTATGGGGAAAACTCTAATCCCAACATGACGACCTTAACCTACCCAGCTCTAAACTTAACCATAAGTAACCAAACAAAATACAAGGCTTTTGGCATTTTTAGTTTTTTGATTGCATTCACAGATCTTTGTGGGGACTTCAATGAATTGTCCCCACAACATCAAAAGTACAGGTTTTTATTCCTGTTATGGAGAGCTGGAGCCGGGCCTGAAACCATATATAAAAACATATTTTTTATTTCAGCGGTCTCTTACAATGAAAACCTTCGCATGTACGCAGGACTATGGATACGGGTAGTTTTTTACAGAACGTTCAACATAATATGACCATAAATAAACAATCACGATTCAAAAACACTAACATACAGTTAGGTTTAGCGTGATTTTTTTTTTTTACTTACCAAAGGCAACTTCAAATATCCTGTAGGACTACATTCAAGTCCTACACTAAAATGACATAGAAAACTTCAGTCTGATTCTAACATGTAACAACTTCTCTCTGTTCGTATAGGTTCTCTTTCTTGTTCCACCCATTTATCTCACAAACATTTTATGTAAAGTGAAACTGAAGCTTTTGAATTTCTCGTAAAAGTGCTACTTGTAACTGCAGGTGTGAGAAGCGTGGCCGAATGTTCCTGAAAATAATGCCCGCGTATTCACCACCTAATGGCTATTCAGACAACTAACACATTTTCTTACATAAAACTATACTAAATTATACAAATTAAAATACATAAAGTTTTGAAGACAACGCGTTCCAATTTGAATATGAGGAAATATTTCTCTAAATTTAAAGTATAACGTATAAATATGGCCTATTGTTTATAGATCTATACAAGTGTTTCATATTTCAAACAGGTTTTTCTTTTCTTTATTAAAACCTCGCACATAAAGAACTCCTGTAGTATCAGGGTCAAAGAAACAATATTCATTATAATAGGAAAAATACCATGAGAACAATGTCGCATTCAACTGAACAGGTAATAGCAGTGTTTCAGGTAACACTTTAATCTAGTAGTACATGCTAACTTGATGCATTAATTAACCAGTAACTAAGTGTTATTGTTACGTAATCAGAAATTCGTTCATCATTAATCGTGACCATTTATTTCATGCAAGAACTACAGTACTGTGCAAAAGTTTTTGGTAGTCAAAGAAAACGATGTTTAAATTATCTTTATATTGGTGTAAAACTATGCTATTATGCCTGTCAAAGTGTGTTAGCTTAGCCATTTCAAAACCTCTACTAAAATCACCCCATTAGTTCCAACAGCCATACAATACACACATGTATTTTTGACTTGACCACAAGTCAAATAGATAATAAATAACTGATTGTTTTTTTTTTTAACTAATTAAGTTAATTAATTAGTGAGCTGGTGGTGAAATTTTATAAATACGTGGAATGGCTGGGGTGCCCCTGAGGAGAGGTTTGGGAACTGAAGCGGTGTTCATCTTTAGCAATCCAACTAGATATCAGTAACTTTTTGGAGAACAGAAGAAATTTTTACTAGTTTTTGTTTCTCATGATTTGGATATGTTCTAATGTTAAGCTGTGTTCTTTTGTTCTGGGCAAATGTGCACTTATTACCCACATAAAGAGCTTTAAATATTTCTTTTGACTGCCTAATACTTTTGCACAGTACTGTATATTAGTTCATGATTTTTTTTGAGTAGTAACTGAGTACTGTACCTATGTTATTACATGACCCCTCAAGTAAAGTGTGACAATGTTTTAAAATCATGTATCAATTATTATAATGTATTAATTTCTATATTTCTTTGTTGTTTTTATCTATCTATCTATCTATCTATCTATCTATCTATCTGTCTATTTTTGCAAAAACATTTCATTCTTGTTTGCATAAGCTTATTTTAAAATAAAATATTCTTGTATGTATCTACCAATCACCGCTCATGGGAACAGTAGCGAACACCCAATCTGAAAAGAAAAGAAACACTGTGGATCAAAACTAATGATTATAAATAAACAGATGAGACTGGTATGGAAGTAAATCCGTCTCATCACAATTTGAATTTTATATGCCACTGAAATTCTAACATTGAATATTTATGCATTGGAAATGTGCATCAGATTTTTTTGCCTCTGAATTACAGTCTTTATTTTCTATAATGCAGTTTCACTGCTATTTTTCCATGTTCACATATTCACGATAAAACAAATGCAGGGTTTAATGATACAAATTACAAAAACTCAAGTTTCAAAAATTCAAAGAGAACATTTCAAAGTTGCTCAGTGGCATATAAAATTCAAATTGTGATGAGACAGATTTATTTCCATAACTGGTCTCTGGGCAGCCTCAAACCCCCAACAACAGGGTCACCGTTTCTGTGCCATACATTCAGTCCACTGACCTAAGCAGAAGTTGAAGAAACATGCAAAACACACTAGGGCTTAGACACCATGGGGCTGAAAGGCAAATCACAGGGAAGAGGGCAGAATGGCCAGTGTAAGCGCAGAAATCGATGTTTAAGTTTTATATGTATAGGTTAATTAATAGGGGAAACCCTCGCAAGTAATGAGGGGAACATAATTGAGTTTGCTGTTGTTACACGGAGGTTTTTTTCGGGGGGTAGCGGCACAGCAGTCCGCTTGTAACCTCCAGAGAAAGCAGCGTTATTAAAAATACCACCGAAGTGGTTAATTAAGCGAGTCCCTTGTGTTTAATCCACCTCCCGCGAGCCAAAGACCCCGTCCTCCGGGTGAGTTCCATTTTAAATACCCGATTCCATTACCAACAACTTTTTAAGTTTACACCAGCAACACCTGCTGGCCAAACGGGGAGGGAACACAAAGGAGCAGGGTCTGACGGGCGCCGACCCTGACAGGGGATAAACATGAATCAAACGCAGCACTGTTTACGTGAAAGAGGCTTACGGACATTCACCATATAAACATTGGAAGGAATGTTCACTTTACATAAGCGATTATTGTAGTTTATACTACAGACACACACATAGAAACACAGAACTTTGCTTGTGCTACTAATGAAATATTTCTCCCTGACATATTCTTTTACACTAGAAATATCTTGTACTAATTTGAGTTTATGTATAACATGGATAAATGTAGGCAGTCCAACGGTAACGAATATGTCAGAAAACTAAAGGGTAAATTAATGCTTGAATAGTATAAACTTAGCACTGATGTACCGTTTTTCCTGTTGCAAAGCAGGGAATTTCTTCTCAATATACAATTATACAACTAAATCTTCCCGGTCTACCATGCTACGGAGAGCTGGAGCCGAGCTGACACTACCTTTGGAGATTTCGCGGGTACGCAGGAGGTTTTACCGAACGTACAACAACATAATATGGCCATAAGCGTCATTAAGAAAACTAAATTACAGAAGAAACCAAGTTAAAAATACCAAGGGGGTTGTTTTGAAAAACCGTAATATTCCAGCCGTGTATGAGTGAATGAAGGTTTGGTGTGAATTTTTTTTTAACTTACCAAAGGCAAGTTCAAATATCCTTCAGGACTAGATTCGAGTAGACACTAAAATGACACAGAAAAAATTCAGTCTAATTCTAACATGTAACTCTTTTCGTATAGTTTCTGTTGCTTGTTCTACATATTTATGTCAGTAGCGTTTCTATAGCAAACTGAAAAAGAAGCTTTCGAATGTCTCGTAAAAGTGTTATACTTACATATACCTGCTAGTACGTACGAGAAGCGTGGCCAAATCTATTGGAAAATACTGCCGCGTATTCACCACCTAATGGCTATTTAGACTATTAATACACAGAGTTTTGAAGACAACGCCTTCCAATTTGAATATAAGGAAGCAGCGTAGAATCTAATTGTAGCTCATTCAGAACCGATTTTAGGGAGTGTCGGGGCCCTGGGTAAAGAAGCTGCATGGAGCCATCCAACTATCCCTCCCCCAGCATTGTAAACTTTATTACCTTTGTTTTACTGTGAACTGTAAATTAAAAAATATCAACAAAGATAATTTAATAAACACAAGACCTGTATTTTTAGTTCTGTTAAAATCAGAATACACAAATAAACCAGATTTGTCCCTGCAATGTACAGTTTAATCGGGGGGCCTGAGCTGACTCTGACTCTGCATATGGATTATAGACCTATATGTGTTTATTATTTCAATCAAGATTTCTTTTCTTTATTAAATCCTCAACATACAGAGGTCCTGCAGTGTCATGCGCAAAGAATATTTGTTCCTTATTAAAGGAAAAATAACAACAGAAGAATCCACCGCATTCAACTGCAGTTTTAGGTAACGCATTAATAGTACACGCTTACTTAATGCATTAATTAACCAGTAACTGAGTGTTAGTTACGTACTGATTCCATGTTCATTCATCGTTAATTAATGATGAGTTCATGACAGTTCATTTATGTACAGGAACTGCATTATTTCGTGTTTTTAAATCATTTGTGATCTGTCTGGACAAGAAATTTATTTTAAACTATTTTATTCCCATTTCTTTTTTCTTTTTTTTCTGAAATTCCATAAAAAATTTTGGTCACAAAAAAGAAAGCTGCTTATTTGATTAAAAAAGAAGAAAAACCTATCCGTTTAGTCACTGGGAAAATAGTTAAATAGCGGAAATAAATGTTAATTGAAACAGAACCGGATGTGGTGCCCTAGACAAGCATTACTGCCGGTGCCCCCTGTCTAAGGCAGAAATAAAAACAAACAAACGAACAAACAATAAATAAATACTAATCAAAGCCTATATTCACACTAAAAGCCTAGGTGCTCAATTAGGACTTTCTGCTGAGATCCAATTTTTTGTTTGCCTATTCAAAGTGTTTTTTAAATGTAGCCAGTATCAGAATCCATTGTGAACTGGTCAGGTACTGAACTGGCCAGCATGTGCATTTGCAAAAGGACAATGATAAGGAAGTTTATTTGCAGAAGTACATCAGAATTCTTTGCTTCACCTACGTCATCTTGCTGTCCATAACTTGGGGGTCACAGCACAAGGTCATTCAATGTGTGACACCCTGGAGCTGGGTTTAAGAGCCTTGCTCAAGGGGCCCATAGACATGTAATTATTTCACCGAGCCTGGGGCTTGAATCAGTGTTTTTTTGATCACAGGCCCAGAGACTTACCCAGCTGAGCTACTAACATGCAGCACGGCAAGTTGGTGGCAGGAATACAATGTAAAAAGCAATTTTGACTTTTATTTGTTTCAGGGTACTATTTTGAGTATACTTAACTTGACTGCACTGAAGATGTTATGCACTGTAAAAAATGTTGTTTCAACTAAAAAAAATGTTACTATGTTGTCTTAAAATTTTAAGTTATAATAACTTAAATTTGGCCACCTTATAATCACCGGTGTTATAAATGTGAATAAAATTTATGGTGCCAGCCTTGGGGAAAATCATTAAACTGTTAAACAGCTGTACACTGTAAAAAATTGCTGTAATGTTTACATTAAATTTTTACAGTAAAGTATTGTTTCATGGTTTTACAGTATTACATTGTAAAACGCAATGCATCCTGGGCCATTAGATGCTTACAAAGCTTTACTGCTTATTTCACAGTAAAGTATTAGCACGGAAAACAGGCGGCACGTATTTTCTTTGGGTAAAGTGAAAACCGAGGTTTTACTGTATACTGTATTTGCCACGAGAGACCAGGGAGGGAGTGAGTGATGGCTGGCGTTGGAGATAGTGATTTTGAATTAACATTAATGTAAGTGTTAACGGAGGTTTTACTACACATTTTCTCCGAGAAACCAGGTGAAATATAGTTCGAATGAACGTTAATGTAGGTGTGTACTGCGAGTTTACTAAATATTCGCACTGAGAAACCAGGCAGGAGTGAGTGATGGCTGGCGCTGGAGAATGCTGTTTGAATCAACGCTAATCTTAACACAATGAAGTATAAAGCTTTTCTGCTAGTTCTAAGCACTGCTACTTTTTTTTCTTTTACAAACAATCGTAAAATCGTAAATATTACTTTCCAGTAATCACTTTTATTTTGAATTTTGTTAGTTTCACGTTGTTAAAATGATGAACTTATAGTAAGTGAAATAATATCTTAATTGCAGTATTATGTTTTATTTCGAAAATCAATTAATTAATAGGTAGTGGTGCGGTTACAACATTAGCCCGACCAACAGTTAACATACTTGAGTGGTTTAGACTGCTACTACTGTACTGTATATTAACCCCATGTCTGTTTTACTTGCCTATAGCTGAGTTATAGTTGTTATACTGTTAACTGTTAAAAATTACATGGACCTTTACTGAGCACCTATTACTTAGAGTTAAAACGACTTTA